ACAAACAATGGAATATTATGCTACCTTGAAGAATAACAAGGAAGCTGGAAGCTATCACATAACATGGAAGAACCTTGAGGACATTATGTTGAGTAAAATTAGTCAGTCGCAAAAGAAGAAATACTGCATAGGACCACTACTACAAAAGACTAAGAAAAAGAACCCATACTAAAGTGGGGGGCAAGATTCTTTGCTGGTTACTGGGATGTGGGGGGTGGGGTGAGGGGAGGATGGGGAAAATGGAGCACAGGGTAGGGAACAGACACAGGATAGTTTGGGTGCTAGGGAAGGGGGCAATACACAAGAAGGGGGAGGGGAATGGAAGAACAAAGCAAACAGGAAAGCAATTAGGCAGGTTTGCATGGGCTAGGCGGGACAGATGTAAATAATGACGTATGCTCAACCCTGGAACAACAGGGATCTGGGATACAAAGATTGAGACACGGTTGGAATGGGCAAAAGGGGGAAAATAACATTAAGATGCTTGGCTGTCTTTTGAATCTTGGTTTCCCTGGTATACCATTATAAAACAGACACTTGAGGGGGAGAGAAAGGAATAGCCAGAAATATCACCATAAAAAGCTTTTAAGTCCTCACTGATTGGAATACCTAAAATGGGGCTACAACATGCCCAGTGAAGGAAGCTTTCTGTGGAGCCTTTGCATTACACAAGACTATAAGTGGAATCCTGAACCCCATCCAGAATCTTCTGAGGTGGGAAATTTCCACTTGAAAGGACAAGCAAGACCAGCCTGAAGTGGCTAGAGCAGTAGATACTTCTTGAAAGAAAGACTGACATGAAAAACACAAAACAATAAAGGCAGTCCTACTTATTACTATAAGAACAAGCAAGTTGCTCTGCCAGGAGACATTAGCCAAGTGGTCGGGTTCCTCAGGGCAAACCCCCTTCCGAGACTATGACTCAATGGGAATACACGCTCTCATTGGTGACCATGTGTTGCAGACCGTGTAAGCTTGGGCAGAGGTTGGAGGCCCTATAGGCCCGAGTGTAACAAATGAGGCCACTGGCAGTCAATAGCAAATTGTTTTTCATCTTAATATTCAGTTACATGTATTAATTTAATACATGGAGCCCTTAATAATCCACAGATAAATGTGATATTTTCCTAAAAGCCCAGACTGTAAAAGTTGCAAGGTCAAGCCTTCCTCCAAAGGATTA